GAGAGTACCTCAAATAATATAGCGCTCCCTCAGCACTGTATATTGCTGACCTGGACAATGACATTGTCTTGAATCCACAACCTTTTGACTCAGAGGCAAGAAATCGTGCTACCAACTGGGCTAAGCTGACACCAAACTGTCAAAGTGTTCTCAGCTCATAAATATCACGTCCTACTTCTCACAAGGCACAAACACATTGAAGAAAATGTGTTCCAAAACTTCTTTTTGCCATCCTGAAAGTGCTGTATAATAAGAATGTTGTCTAATGTAGAGACTGAAGAATAGTATTGACCCCTTGCAGTAGCAGTAAAATATTCCCAAGCACAGTAATTGCATCGATCAATTACTAAGTATCAATCAAACAGAGAGATTCATTCTCATTGTACTCTGAATCATTTCAGCAATATTCATTATGGTAATTTCTAATTGCCTGCTTCATTATTATTCAACATAAGCCAGAGGTGGTTTGACCAGTGGAATCTAGGGACATTTCAGAGTGTTACATTTCCATTCGTTAATGTTTATACTTAAACAAGGATATAGGAGTCGAGTTAATGAACTGAGAACTATCCCTCCACCCTGCCCCTTCCTTCAGCTCATGCCTGAAGACCTTCCTATTTGACCGTGACTACGGTCACCTCCCCCTTCCCCTCAGCTCGGGGTCGTGCTCCGCCACTGTCAAGCGCTCTGGGACACTACCCTGCGTGAGGGGCACTATATGAATGCAAGTTGTTGTTGTTGAGAATGGTTCTGTTATCCAGAAATTGTATCTTTGTTTAGGTCAGCCAAGTTTCTGACCATGCAGAAACCCATAATCGCACTTATGAGGATCCATACCAGAGTTCCACATATACATGCCCTCTACATGTAGAAACGTCCCCATATCTGGAATGCAATGCGCACTCTCTCCCTAGAAGTTTGCACTCTGCTTAACTAATTCCAGAGAGTATGAGGTACAGATTGGCAAAAGTCAAGGCTTAGAGGCTTCAAAGTGTGCATTGGAGTATTAATATAATTTAACCAGCTAACACCACATAACTTCACTTTACAGTATATTCTGGGAAGCGCTTTAAGACATCTTGATGACGTGATAAGGCGCTATTAATGCAAGGATTATTATTATTATTGGCGTTGAAAGCACTGTGTGGAAAGCTTATCATTGCTTGTCCAACAAGGTCTATCCTACACAATTTGACTTTGGCTTGCAAGATTTACAGTAACCAAGTGGGAAGAATCCCTGCTCCCAGTGTTTTGGCTGCCTTTACAATGAATCCTGTCGATGAGCCAGGCTAGCTAGCCCACACACAGAGCATTGACCCAATTCCAGCATTGCATTGCCAAGTATGTCATCAGAAAATGAAGACATAAGTTCCAGGAGCACAAGGTGTAACGAGTGGGAGGTCACCTGGAGACGAATAATACAATAAAGAGACAGGATGATAATCTGCAAGCAAAAGCCAACAGTAGTAATGAATGGTGGGCCACTTGGCCATTCTGGAGAATCCAATAAGATTTAAGTTGCAAGTAGGGGCCTGTATAAAGCCCGAGCAAAAGACAAAGACAGGAGTCCTGGTGACCAAAGTCAGGAGAGTGTTGAGATGGTATGATTGACCTATTCTGACTCCAGACATCTGCAACCCAATTCTTCCAAGATACTGCACTGTCGCTTGCTCAAGCTCAGAAGGATACTTAAGTGTGTGCATTTTATTAGTTGTAACGCTCAAAAGGAACAAGACACAAATAATAAACACATGTCCTTGAAATCCTAATTGTGCATTTTGAAGTATTGTTACGGAGCATAATCTCAGAGCAATAACTCACACTCATGCCGTGCACGAACATAACTCTGGTTGAGTTTCATGACAGATGTAAGGGTTTATGTTAACAAGATTTATTTGTTTTGAAACTATAATTCAGGTCATTGCTTTTAATGACTTTCTAAGAAACTCCAAGACAGAAAAACACATGCAACAAGAAGTTTGAGAGTGTGATAACAGGATCCAGTTGTGTTTCCTGACATGTATGTTTATTTGTAGGAGGTGACGGAGGATCTCAATGGTATTAGCAATCAGTCTCCTTAACAGGTAGGGCTTTGTTGGATTTATTCAATTCAATGAACTACCAAAAGTTAATACCTAATTCATAAAACTAGGCCACATGAGGAATGATTAAAGTTAAATAACTCATTACAGCCAGAAGTTACTACACGCTTATTTCAGAATCTCACTATTACTCATCTTGATTGTTATATGTGGCTCTTGACTTCTTAAGCAAACAACTTTAAACCTTTTTTTTAAATAGTCTTTTTGCTAAGAGATTGTAAAGAGATTAATCTTGGAAATATTGCTTCCTAGTTTTCAATTTGATCTGAATGTTGTTACAAGTTATTTTACTGATAAATATTGCATCAAGTTGCCAAAATTCCCATTCAATTCAATATGCTGTTTGCACAAAACAACTACATTGGTGTGAAACATTATTGAAAAATAAGAAATTGACAATGAAGCACAAATGCAGCCAAGGAAGCTTTGTTCAAACCTGAATACAGATTTCATTTGATGAAGGACAGAGATGCTTTCTCCAATATGGTCATCACAATAAATCATTGCCCATGCAAACAGCCTTCCTGAATACTATTAGAGGATGTTATTTCAGAAAATATTCCATTAACTATTTAACCCTTTGATGGCTGCCAGGTCGACAGAGACTCATCTCAGTGGATGTGTATATTTTCCAGCTCAAACGGTTTAACATGCAATGCTAAAATTGATAGAGCCACTCAAATATCAGGAACAGCTTTATTACTATAATATTAGCTAAATCCACTTACTAATACATTCAAAAAAACCTCATTTTAAATTTAAAACTTCACCTTTGGTTCCTCTGTTGCTACTTTCACTTCTATTTTCACTTCTTCCATAGGCCCTATCTTTTAATTTTAACCTGGTTTTCTACTTTGCATCCTTTCTATCTTTTTTTCCTGTCTATTCTTTCCTTTCTTCAAATCATTTCTAATTTCTTAAAAGTGGTTCCTTGCCTTTCTTTCAACCCCCGCCATGCAATTTTGTGGAAAGCAATATAGGGAGACCATTAATAATCATTGCAAGCTATGGGGCATATACTGTATATACTGTATATGCCCCATGGCTTGCAATGATTGATGTCATTGCAACCTTTGCTTTTCAGATTTTTGATGTCTGCAACATTTGTTTTTCAGATTTTTTTAAGCATACACTCATTTCTGCAGAGTCACAAGAGAGTCACTTAAACTACCTACAAAATGCCTGCTCAATGCATCAGCTATTTGGGTACAAAGGCTGACTTGCAAATACCCAAAGAGTTTGACTGGGAGGCAGCTGGGAATAAACATAAGAGAATACAGTATTTGCTTTTGGGGGAAAATCTAAGAGGTGTGACAAGTGTTAGTCAAACAACAATTGTCAAAGTGGTAATAATGAAGGATAAAGGCAACGGAAGAGTTTTTGGGAGAAGGAACCAAAAGAATGAGAGATGCAGAGAGATGGAATAAGATTAAAGACAGAGAAGATAGGGTGAAACTATTGAATGAAATATCGAGGTGAAAAAGTGAGTGGGGAATACAATTTATATTATCACAAATATGTGTGTGTGATATCAGTCAGCTCTAAAGATCACTACGTAGTTACAGTAGTATTGTAGATTAAAGGACAATCAAAAGGATTGCTTTATTGCATTGGTCATTCACTTCATGGCTGTTTGTGAGATATTGGCTGCCACATTTGGCTACAAATACAGTCACTACACTTCACAGAAAATCTAAAGTTCTTGGAGATATTCAATATTAGAAGCGCGGTATGAAATGCAAGGATTGTTATATTACTTCAAAATAAAATGGGGCTTATTTCATTCTTTCACAAAACTTTAAGATGGAGGAATGATTATCTTCTTCAAGTTTATCTTATTAATAAAGATATACATATTTCCAGGTGATACAGCACCCTAACATATTAAACTCATTGAAAGCATTTCTTACACACAATGCTTTGAAGTGTGTTATAATAATAATAATCCTTGCATTTGGCATAGTGCCTTTCACGGTGGTTGGACATCTCAAAGCGCTTCACATGAACTTACTGTGAAGTGCTCACTCCATGGCTGTTTGTGGAACACTGCTATGCACAACTGGCTGCCTCATTTCGGTCACAAAATCCACTTTACAGTATATCCTGTGAAGCGCTTTGAGACATTTAAATGACATGATAAGCCGTGGTATAAAATGCAAGGATTATTATTATTTATTATTATTAAATGGAGTGACTGTGAATTTGTACGTGAACATGGTAAACCAGTTGCATACAGCAATGTTCCAGAAACAGCGTTATGTAAACATGTATGATTTACAGACTTTAAAAGCCCAGGCCTAGCATCACCAAACCATTACGTCATGATTTATCTCATTGTGTTGTCTGCACTATGGGCCTGGATTATTTGCTTAGGTTTCTTAATATAAAAAAGCTTGTTGGACTTAATCGAGGGTGAAAAATTCTGACCTTGTTTAGATAATCCTCTCTAAAATTTGATAACACTATGGTTAATGCACCCTTTTACACTTTCAAACACTTTCAAAGGGCAACTTGCAAATAAGATGTTCTTGTACTATAAAATGTACTTTGAGCAGGATTTTTAGCAGTCAAGAAGATTCTCTTCTCACTCATTTAAAACACGAAGGACAACTCTGACAGGATACATCATGCACGTCTTTGTGAATGAGTTTAGTTGTTCATTAATTTTGACTGTCACATACAGTAAGAGAAAAAGGCAAGCAGCAATTGACCAAGGAGGTCAGCATTACAATGGTTTATTTCAGATATTTAAATGGATCTTTACTTAGCTGTCTGTGTGTCCGAATAAGTCTGATGCTAACAAATGTACAATATAGGAAACGTATTGGGATCTTATATTTTTTTCTATCAGCGGCAGCAGGATAATAATGAATCTGCCATAAAGAAATGTTCGCTCACCATCCACGCGGTGACAAAATCTCCCATCCAGGTTCCGACTGCTGCTAACTTCATGAAGGTCTCGTTTCTTATGCCCATGTGTTCAGTGATGAGGTACATACTGCAGAAAAATGACAAATTGCTATCACTATTACAGAGGACGCAAAACAGAAATATTAAAATATTCACCACAAAACGTCATCTCCTCTGGGATATCGTGCAATTTCAAAAACACTTCCATCAATCTTGCAAATCTCTTCAAATCACCAATGTATTAGGAAATGTGTAGCTCAGAATAAATCCTGGGAATGAGAAACTACCATTCAGCCTACTGAAGTTCATCCCTCTGGTACATTAACTCTTACTATCAGGTTAATTACTATCCACCCAAAGTTTGGGCTTTGCAGCAGTTAACAAGGATCCACTATAGAACATAGTGAGATTTTAGAACTCGCCACTTGGAAGTGGTGGTTGAATCTGATAATATAGATGCATTCATGAGGAATGCTACACCTTTAAAAGAGGAATAGGGGAAGAGAAGGGATTGGGAGGGAGTAAGGATGAATGAAGACTCATATTGAGTATATACACCAGCATGGACTGGTTGAACGAGTGGCCAGTTTCAGTGCTGTACACTCTTTGTAAATCTTTGTAAAGACAGTTCTAACAACCTAACATTTCTTTTCAAAGTTGACAAATGTGTCAGCCTGGTTCAGTTAGTAGCATTCTCGCCTCTGAGTCAGAAGCTTGGATTCAAGCCCTACATGCTGCGACTTTGAACTCTGGTAGTCTAGGCTGACAGTCCACTGTACTGCTAGCAGCATGTTGCAATTTTGAAGATGTATTTCTTTGGATGATGTGTTAAATTGAGGTCCAATCTGAACATTAAAGATCCCGTAATAATAGGGAAAAAGAGAACAGAGTTTCTCTCAGTGTCCTGGCCAGTAATCCCCCAGATAAAATCGGTCATTCACTTCAGAACTATTTGTGGCACATGGCTGTGCATAATTTGGTTACTTTGTTCACCTACAAAATATAGTCACTACACTTTACAGTGAATTCTGTGAAAAGTTTTGAGATGGCCTACTGATGTGAAAGGCACAATATCAAATGTAAGGATTATTATAATAATAATGCTCTCCAAGCATTGGAAGAGTATCACATAGAGTGTATTCGCACGACTCCCTTTTAGCCATTAACTGACAAACACGAACCACTTAGAATTAAAACCTGAATAAAATGTATATACATTGTGAATGAAAGGCCTGTCTGGAAAATAAGTCTCAGTCTGTAAGGATTAACAACTGCAGAGTGGTATTTCCCATATATTTATTTAAACACTTAAAATCACTACTGATGAGAATTGTGCTTTAACAACAAGTTCAAACACTGTAGCCAAAGAGCACTAGCTGAGGATGAATGTGTCATATATTGATCCTGGGTGCTGTAGATTTACATACAAAGTCCTTCACTGTACATCAGCAGACCATCCATGCATTGATTGAATGGAACCCTTTAAAGTTGATGTAGACTTTGTATTTGACTAAGTGCACTTTTAGCTCTGTGTTTGTATAGATTATAACACCTAAACCCTGGGAAGGTGGCAATTGGTTGAGAATTGTTGATGTACCTCTATTTGCTTTATAGCTCAACAACAAGTGTGTCAGACACATATTGATTGAAAAACTGACATTGTACGCTGGCTCACGCCCAATAAAATCTCGACTAAGTAATTGAAAGAAGTCAGTGTCAAAAAGCTGTAACCTTCACAGGCACAAGCAGAGCAGACCCTGAAACCATCTGCTAACATACAATACTTCAGTACAATAAACTCACAAGGAGTTCATGATATCTACTATCCATCCAGTGAGGGCTGAAACTCCAAAACAGACCAGCCAAGCTGGTTCATTGTCAGGACTTGGAAAGGAAGGAATTCTTCTCACTCAGCTCCTGTTAACTCTGAAAATGAAAGACCCAATAGTAGGGTGGCCCTAGCTTAACAAACAGCAAGAAGCTTGCGAGACAGTGTTCTGAAAAGCAAGCTGTGTATTTTGTTTGGTTAGATTCCAGCAGTAAACCAATGTAGAATCTGGGGTCCCCAAATTTTGGCTATTGTCAACCTGCATCAAATACCTCCCAGAATTATATAAACAGGATGCATCCCTCCAGGGAGAGTGTGCATTGCTTTCCAGCCACGGGGAAATTTCCATGACTAAGTGCCACATATATGTTTGGATATTCTTAGGCATAGTGATGGGTTTCTGGATGTGTCTGACCAAAAGAAAAGTACAATAATTGTATTGCTTTCCTGGAGAAGCTCAAGTTCCTTAAGCACTGCTCCATTGTTGGGCTACATTATGGCTTTTTAGACACTTCTTTAAACATGGAATCTCCTAATATTCCTCACCCATGTCCTCATTCTTCCTCCAAAAGAATAAAGGCACCTATAATAAGATCAAAATCCATGTTGCAGTCCTCTTGTGCTTAATGTACAATGTAGTCATTTTATTAGAAATTGTTGCGGTACTGAACAACTCAGGCCAGGATGGTTCAATCTCAGATGTATGCTGCATTGGTTGGCCTTAACCAACAGCAGTTAGATGTAACCAATGGCTTCAAATGTGTCAATGATCCTGATTACCAAGCCCCCAGATGGCAAACACATCTGGATAAAGACAGGATCTACCTCAGCTGTGTGTTTTCCCCCTTCCTCCATCACAATTGAATAGCCTTCCCACACTCAAGGCTTGCACAGAAAGAATGTCACTTGGACAAGGAATCCAAGAAATTGGAAACCTAAAACTTAACAACTGGTTTCGGGAGACAAACTTAATATATACAAAAGCATTTTTTTTAAATGTAACTGTATTGCAATGTGAATAGCTAAGGACAGCAATTTTTTTGAAACAAAGTGTTAATTACTTGAAGGATACTGCTCAAAATATACACATTGCAATAAAAACAATAAATTTACATTGATGTAGTGCCTGTCCTGTTCAGAGGTCATCTCAAAATGCTTTACACAATAGACTGAGAGACTGAGCCAAACATTGCCAAATGTCCATTAAAAATTCTAAATTAACACCGAAGGACATCCAATCGGTTAAATTATTTCGAAGTCTCCTATCTGCAAACCACAATAAAAAATGTACAGGCAATAAGATCAATATGGCTATGCAGAACTTAAACCATTTGGGATCACTCAACTTGTCTTAGAAGGAATGTATCTAGTTTGTTACTCGGTCTTCAATTAAGGAATCTTTTATGTTTGCTCACAGGACTTGTAAAATAAGCCGTTTAAAACCTTTGTTTTTTGTCCTGCTACCAGCTGTCAGCCTGCATTTCATAATGAATATAATGAATGCGTTAAAATATTGAATCTGTAATTGTGAGCGGCTTGAGCCCAGTGTATTCAGTGATATCTGAAGTAAGAGTGTCTCCTTTGTGTGTCACTGTTACAGCACTGCAGATGCTGCTGGAACAGCTTATTAATCTGTGCGAAGGGCAAGTTATAAATCATAAACCATCAATAAACTATTAATTTTAGAATTTCTGATGCAGGCTTCATTTATGCAATTGTAGGTGTACAATGACTGATCTCTTCCACTATCCTAAAATAACTATCTTGATGAGATTAGGGATTTATAGCTGCATTAGCTCAGTTAGAAGTGGAGTGACTTGGACTCAATCCAGCCGCTGAAGTTGATCCTATGGGAGACATTCTCTCTCTGTGTAATTATAATCAATAATTCTTGAGGCTCAGACACACATCCACAGACTAACTATGGCTTTGACGATGTGCCTAAACTGCACAAAAGAAATACATACTTCGTAGGGATTATTTAAAAGAAGAAAATCTGTATTAAAAGTACGCCCTTCTCCCGACTCCAAGGTTCTAGAACATTGCTATGGTAGATATCAACTCTTAGCACAACCAACCCCACTTGAAATCAGCCCTCATTATTACAATAAAGACTGGTACTGTCATTGCCATAACATAAGTAAGGTGAAACAGCATATTCTTAAAAATACCACAGTACTGTTAGGTTATTTTTTCATTGGTTTACTCGATCTTTAACATATTAAAATTGCATTAGCTCACATTAAACAAACAAATAAATGAATATGCAGACAAAGATAGGTACGGGGGGGGGGGAGGGTAAAGCAGACATAAGAATATAAGCAATGCTAGACGAAAATAGACCAAGGTCCATCTGGTTCGCCTTCCATCTTCCTGGCGGTCACATGCACATATGTCCCAAAATACCTTATGTACTACATCCCATAAAGCAAATTTACCTATGTCTTATCTATACTGATAAAGACAAAACGTTTGTGCGTCTGTCTGTGTGACTGCCAATAATCCAATAACCGATTGACAAAGAAACATGATTTATACTTCATCAGAAAGTTCTTGCATGGCGGAGTATCATGGGAATGTTTGTTTTTGGGGATCTCCTATCGTCAATGAGCTATATTAAAACAATGCTTTAATTAAGCCCCAAAATATGAGGTAGGCATAGTATTCTGCAACATAGTAGCAACACAGGAAATCACACACCCTTCTAGAGAGATAGTGCTATACTAATAAAGACAAAATTTCTGTCTGTTTGTCTGTCCGCCAATACCATAATAACCAATTAACGTAGAGACATGATTTATACCTCATCGGAAAGGTCTTGCATTGGGGAGTATCATGGGCATATTTTGGGGGGATCTCCTATTGTTATATAAAGTATAACAGTATAATTTGAAGTATAATAATCTAGTATAAAGTATAATAATCTAATATAAGGTATAATAATACTGAAATCTACATTCCATACTGGATCCTTTGGTTGCAAACGTAGCTATATGGGTACAGCTAGTATCCTATAAAGCAAAGGAGATCAATCTGACAAGCCATCATCGCTGAAACTGGCAAGTTAATGTTTATAATGATCATAACATTTCTAATGCTGATTGTTTCAACAAAAACAACTTGCATTTATATAGCACCCTTCACCCCGGACAGAGTTTCAAATACTATTCTGGCCGCTATGCACCTTATCCATGGCATTCACTGAAAAAGTTAACAACTATAATCAGATTTTTCACCATGATTTATTAACAGTATCATGG